TACATTTTAACACTGACAATGTGGCAGCTTAAAAAGAGACTGTAAGAACAACAGTGTAAGAGAGACAGTGCAAGCGACATGCAGCAAAGGGCCACACAACATTCTTTCTACCTGGACGTCTTTGTTATTCTCACTTGGACAGACAACAACAAAATGTAAGAGTTGCAGCACGCCTACACCTGCTGCTACTTTCACACCTTGGACGCCCACTGATACAGGAAGCCCTGCTTCAGTCGAATCCCAGACTTTACTGACATATTATCACATGTATTGTTGTTATGACATGTATTGTTATTATCAAATGTATTGTTATTATCACATGTATTGCACCCTTGTCTCAATACGTCATCTGTAACTGTTGTTTTATGTGGGATATGTATTCAAGAACGGACACACCCAAAAAGAGAGATTTCCTTAGCTACCCTCTTTCTTTCTCTTCAGTGAGCTTTCTTTTGGCAACTAAACCACTAATCCTTTAATAACAAGTTAAATAATAGGTTTCTTTTCACAGTGTACCTTTCATATGCGTGTTGGTTACATAACTTGTGTTGTGAGTGTGATAGAAAGGTTGGTAATGACTACAAAGAAGGGACAAAGGAGGTACAGAGGCAGGGAGGAGGGCTGAAAAGCAGGACCATATATATATATGTCATGTTAGCCTTAGTTCTGCTGAAAAAAAGGTGAGGTTAATGATTAATGTAAAATAATCTCACCTACAGCAGGCATACTCTTTTTAGGGTAGGCCTATACGTTAGAGGGGAAGCTGCAGCCAGAGGAAGTGTTTTTTTTTTCAAAAGTGTTATGCTGAGCTGCAGCCAGGGAGGATGTCAGTCAGAGAGATAGGTGAGAGTTGGGTGAGTACAAATTTACTAAAATGCTCTTCATTTCTTTGCATGTATTATTAATTAATTGTCATGTAGCAGTGTTTGAACCAATAATGTATAAATCTTTTATAAATCTGGGCCCCCTGCCCCTTGAACATCCTGTGCACGTCCTTGACGCACAGTAGCAGCATTTCTTTTTTTTCTGATTGAAATATCTGTAGGCTCTGTCAAGGTAAAAGGTTGCAAAATGTTTTAAACAACATGTCACAGTCATTTGCTTTTAAGATTTACATCTGTCAACAGAGCAACAACTGAGGTTTTAACGTCAGCCTCTTCATGGGCAGCAAGAGAGCAGGAAAAATAGCGCCATACAGATTGCCATAAGTTGCCAAACCTAGAGTGCTATTTGAGCCTTTTTAACTTCCCAACCTTTACCCTTAAGTCCTGATTGGATATTTGATGACTCTGTCCGTGACTCACCCCAGTTTTACTTTTACAGATCCATCAAAGTGTCTGGGGGGAAAGTCCACTGCATATTTAACAGTACTGCTGTATTACACCACTCTCATTTTAAATATAAAGAGTGCTGTTAATTATGTGGGCCACACCTTTTGCAAACACTGTTAACAGAGTAGCATAGGATCCAACAAGAACACACAAAAACATGGGCGAGAGGCAATATAATATGCATATGAGTGTTTCAGTGTGTGTGTGTATGTATGTGTATATGAGAGAGAGAGATCATTTCAGGATTTTTTCTGAACAGCTCCTCATCCAGTTGTGGGACCGCAACAACTCAATATGCAACAGGTACAGAGCCTTTGTGTGGATTACTGCTGGTATGTGTGAAAACAATATAAATGGAAAATAGCTTTAAAAATTTAACTAATTTCACAGCTAATCTATACTTCTGCGGAACAACCAGTGTCCTTGAAAAACAGGAACATGTGATAAAGCATCATCAACTGATTTTATGCTGCACAGGGCATGTGTTGTCAGAGGAAGTCTGAGGTCTGAGAACAAGAACTCCATTGCCAGCGACAACGGGCTTAACTGTAATCTCTCTGCATATGACAAATAAATAACTTGTACTAATTCATTTTTGCAATACTTTGGTCTGTGTTTTGCTATGGAATCTCACTGTTTTCTGGTTTGTAATCACGATCAGAATTTGTTGTGCAATACTTTTTTCATAGTTTCAGTTTCAGTTAAAACTCCAAAGTGCTCTCTTGAATCTTTATTGGGAGTGTGTTTGGATTGTTGCATAGCTGTACAACCAACAACAACAACTGGTTTAAGCAAACACAGCCTTCAAGAAAACTCCTGTGGATCATAATATTTAGCACAAACACACTTTAAGAATTGCCCATGACTGCTTTCCTGCCCTCTTGTGACCTTTCAGTTACAGATTGAGAGTTTCTAAAAATCCCAATTGATTTGGGGAGGCTTTTTTCATTGTGGGAACAGTTTGACCTTGTTGTTTGACCCATATGACTGTGCCTCTGTAGCTCTGTTGCAAATTGTAACTGAACTGGAAATTACAGCTGGTCGGAACTTTGTGATCCTCAATCATTTGGAGACAGCTACTTAATTGTGGGAATATTGTGACCTTACATGACCAGTAATAGCTTTTGTACATACATCTGTCCTTCATTATGATTTTTAAATCATCATCCAATCAGAGGAAAATAAGTTTAAGACAAATCTTAAAAAGTTAAAACTGAGTTTAAAGGTCCAGTATGTAACATTTAGGAACAGAAAAGGAATATTATATTCATTGATATGTTTTTATAATCACCTGAAAATAAGAAAAGTTATGTTTTCGCTATCCGTTTTTATCTATACACGCCGCAGGTCGCCTTGGATCAAGTCTTTTCGACTTGCAACGAGGTTTCTTGAGACCAAAACCTGTATGGGTCAGGATCAGGTCTCAATTTCGTGTCTGTGATATTATATGTGATATTCATTGCTACTGTGTGTGTGTGTGTGTGTGTGTGTGTGTGTTATTGAAGGAATGCAGCAATCACTTAATAACAACAATGGAAGTAACTTATCTTTCTCAATGTGGTTACTGTGCAATGTCTACAAAGCCTCTTTTATCAGTATGATAAGAAATTATCTTAAATATAGTGTTTGCTATTATTTTAAAATTTAACAAAAAGGCCTATTAACAAGGCAAGCTGTGTAAGCTGTGTTTGTTCACAGTCATTTAGTCACAAAAGCGTCCTGTATTTAGACTAAACAAGTTGATATACGAATACAGTGAGTATCGTAGGAGGATACTCAACGGAAAAATCTCAGAAGTACTTTTGAAGGTA